GACTCCCTCGAATTTTGCTTCTCCACAGTCAAAATGGTTGTGTTTCTTAAACTTGCTTCTAGCAGAGACTGTGCAACAACAAGATTGTTTGCATATATGCTTTAACATGGAAATTACAGTATTTCCTAAGTGAAGTGAAAAACAAACATCCATATGGCTATACAGAAGCTTCGAGGTACCAATATTCACTACCCCATGCTTGTACCCCAGTTTAGAGTTTGAGTGATATTTTGACAAATTCTCATTTCTGCTTCTGCAGCTCTAACTTTGCAAATACTGCTTGGTCAGCCTCTTTGCATACTCTTTACCCTATTCTCAGACTGGGGGATGGGTGGGAACTCGATTTAGCCAAGATCAGCTAAATCTGAAAAAGACTTTCACTCCAAACTAAAGAATTGTTCTTTCCAAGAAGGCAGCCTTACACATTACATGTCCATGCTTAGGCAGCTGCCTTTCATATGTATATACCCAACACTGCTAAGCTCCCACCATGGTAAAACAAGACTGCAACACAATTATTGTGTAACTTGTCCCTTCCCCCACTCAAGTAACCAACATACAAAGAAAGGCTTACTCTATTGTCCACCTACAGTACCTACAATGATCCCTTGCTAACTGAAACCTGATTCAACAGATACCTACTTAACCATTTCAGAGCAGCAAATATTTGAGCATTTGGATCCACGGAAGAGCTAAGGACATGGCTTGTCATTTTCTCTGAGGCATTAATACTTGTATCCACAGGCAAACGTTGAGATATTACACGAAGCAGAGCAGCTGGGGTATATTTTAACTGTGTGTTTACCTGTGGAAAATCAGCTTCATCAAAACACACAAAGACACACACTGGAAACACACCAGTTAAAACCTGTTTTGAAAAAAAGTGTAAAGCTATAGAAATGAAGGATATTTCCTGGCAGCACGTTTCCTCCCAAAACCACCGATCAAAACTCACAAAGGTAAAAACAACACCAACAAAAAGGCAATCAACAAATTAGACTCTGTCATTTTTCACATCCATCTCTAAGCAACAGTACCATAGCAACTTTTTCCTGCCTTAACACATCTTGCGAAAGAGGAGAGTTGGCCACAATGAGACCCCAGGAATGTCAGATTCCAGCTTTCACTTGAGCGCCTCGTATTTCATCAATGCCCACAATTAAACAAACAGCTCTGGAGCATGGGTTTTTCCTCCCCCCCCACCGAAACCTTGCCTTTGTATAACGCTTAGATCACATAACGTGGGATTATGGAGCAGACACTGGGGGCTGCGTGGAAGAGCCGCATCCCTCGTGCCAGGATGGACTTGGGGAACACCCGATGGCGGCAGCAACGCAATCCAGGCCTGGCTTGCAGGGATCACACTGCTCAGGCCGTGCAGGACACAAGTGGGTCTGCCAGGCTGGCAGGGGGCGATTCTGCTGATTTTGCCTTTTTTTCCCCACCTGTTTACGGCAACACGCGTAGCTCAGGCTGACCCAAGCGCGTGTAGCAAGGAGCAATAGAGATGTGCAGGTGGCCCTGCACGAACAGCTTATTGCAAGTGGGGTCTACGGGGGGAGTGTGCATGTGTGCGTGTCCCCACAGTGCCCAGTGCGAGCAAAGCACCGCCTTCCCCCCTCCCGCATCCAGCAGGGCCCTGCCGCCATTTTAGAGTCATTCACACCCGCTGCCGGGGAAGAAACCCCCCTCGGCGCCCGCACCACGGCGACGAGCAAGCAGGCTCTTCAGCCCCACCCTGCACGCTTTTAAAGGCTTAAGGTGTGTGTGTGTATGTGTGTGTGTGTGTGAGTATGTATATATATGTATATACACACACACACACACACACACATATATAAAAAGGGACAAGCGAGGCGAGCGTGATCTGTCAGCGAAAAGCCGCGCTCGTCGCCCCTGCTCCTCCCTGCGCGCTGGTAACCGAAGCTGCTTTTCCCATGGTGACTCATTTGTTCAGGACGCTCCATAATCTCACCCCACGAAGGCGAGTGGCGAGGGAGATTAAAGGAACCTTCAAAATCCTTTCTGGAATGAAAAGGGCAGAAGCAGCAGCCAGCCCCAGAACTTGTTACCTTGTGCAGGGTTTTTTTGTTGGTGGTGGGTTTGTTTTTTTTTCTCTCCTCCTAAAGGAAGCTTCCAGCCTCCAGGGCAGCGTATCAACTTTGCGAGAGCACGTTTCCCCAAGAAATGGTGTTGGCCCGCAACGCATTAGATGTCTCCTCTCATATGAAAATATGAAGAAGGGAGGAGAAAAATGCAACCACGCAAACAGCTACTACTTCCTTATGAACTGTGCCGTGGGACCAAGATTAATATATGCAACGACAACCCCCCCCCCCCGTCCCCTCCCCAAATAATATCACACCTCCCTAGCAGAGGAATCCAGTGGAGTTGTTTTCTTCGGGGATTTCTATGATTTTAGGTTCACACTTGCATTTCCAAGCACTTCAGTTCCCACCATTCACTCCACAACCCTCCTCGCTTCGTTTCACTGCGACTACAGAAAGCAACATGGGTCCGATAGTCAATTTGCTCACGCCTTGAAAGCACAGCATCCTCCGAGTTTCAGTGTTACGGTGACTGGATATGAAGAAAATCAAATAGTAATAATTAAAAAAAATAAAACTCCACTCAGCCACTGGAGGAGGAAAAAAGCAATAATAATGGAGATGAGAAGCAAAATGGCCAGCCTCCCAGGCTTAAGGCTGTTTCCAAGACATTGTGGACATTTGGAACCCCCCCCAAAAAAAAAAAAAAAAAAAACCAATCCACGCAGAAAACCGAATTGCCTCTCTTCGACCAGGTGTTCCTCCATCCCGGGGGAGGGGGAGAGGTCTGTCTTTTTTTTTTTTTCTTTTTTGGCTCCCGCAAGTCCGCGTTCTTCCAAGCGCCAGGCAACCTCCCTGCAGGTCCTTCCACGTTATAAAACCGCCGGATTTCTCCCTTTCAACGGGGCGCGACAGATCTTCGCCATTGCGCGCGGGCTATTTACAGCTATTTTGTTTTCCTCCCTCCCTCGTACCAGCACCCCCCTCCTCCTC